GAACGCGCATTCGAAGGGCCGCGACCTGTTTGAGCTCCAAGATCTCGGGCCCATTCCAGCACTGGAAATTCAAGCCATTCGAACGCAGCGATCGCTCCAACATGCACGGCCCGCGCGGCCCTCGCGATGAACAACTTGATCACGTGCCTGCACCCGGCCCGATCGATGGCCAGTCGGGCACTAGTCTCTATGAAGTTCTGGAGCGCCGTCCAAGGGCTGCAGGATAGACCCCCCGCAGCACGCCCGCGCGCCCGCCCCCAGCTCTGGCTGACTTCTCCAACAACACACCTGCTGGCTTGGAAGGTTCGCGCCGTCGTAGATCTTTAGCTGGAATTTCGAGCCGATGTGCGACGCCACCTGCAGCAGTCCAAACTGCGGCCATGAGGCTGTCCAGCTCGCAGCAGCATTCGACCGTCGTGCCAGGCTTCCTTGGCCCAGCGCCCCGGGTAGCCCTCGACGCCGTTGACGGCGTGTCGTCGCTCAACTGCGCCTCTAACGTCTTCCTCGCGAAGGCTGGTCTAACTCCGTGTCTGCGCAATGCGCTGGCTTGTCAAACTCCCGCCTGGCGCTGAACTGCTCTGCGGCTGCGAAGTCGCCCCCACGTCTGATGCCCGGTCGCGAACTCGGCACCGCCCCCGACCCGGGCTGCGCTGAGCGCGGCGCCGCGGTAGCACCTCATGCACCGCGGCCCCCGGAGACACGACGCGCGCGCACCCTTGCCACAGACCAGGCACTCGAAGAGGTCGGAGGTCTTACAGCAGCCAGAGCAGGCGCCATACGAACTGCACGTCGCTGGAGTGGCCGAGGCCGAAAGATTCCATGATGTCAGTGCCCGCGAATCGCTGCCGCCCTGCAGCTCGCTTTCCGGCTCGGCGCGCCCGACGGCGTTGACCTTCGTGCCAGCCCCGGCGGTCTGGTTGATGCCCTCGCTTTCTTTGTTGCCCGCGCCTGCATTGGCGCGGTGCGCAGTCGCAGCGATAGCGGTGATCTTCAGGGCCAAGTCCGGCAGCGGCCTGGGGCCGGAACCCGAGCCAATGGCCGGCAGCGAACCCACCGCGTGCCGCGTCGATGCCAGCGCCGATCGCACCCGGGAAGTCTCGCCCCAACAAGAAGCTGAACTCGTCACTCTTCGCGACGCAGGCCCTGACCAGGACTGGCACGCCCGCGACTGCGGCGGGGAAGCGGAAGGCCTCGCAGGACCTAAGAGCGCCGCCGCCACCGAAACTAAATTTCTCGGCGATCTCCTCGCGCGCGACACGATCGTCGATCTCGATCTCCACCAGCACTAGACGCACGCAGCGCCAAGCACCCCTCTGAGGTGGCCCGCGACCACGCGCAGCAGCTCGTCACAGAGGACCTGCTTCTCGAGCAGCTCCTTGCCACCCACCTGCTCCACTGTCATGGCGTCGCGACCTGAGTCCGAGTCGTCGCGCGCTGCCGTCACAATGGCAGCCTGCAGGGACATGCGCTCGGGGTCGCAAGCCCAGTGCCCTTGAAGTCCGCGGGCCTTGCAGGTCGACTTCAACTTGCGCTGCTTCAGCTTCTCCGCGAGCTCACGGCCCTTGCCGCCGCCGCATCGCGAAACACGAACTTGCCCAGCAGAGCCGCAGAGCCGCGTCCAGCCGACGGGCCCGCGACTTGCCCTTGGGCTTGCCACCTCCATCCCGCGCCTGGACCATGCCGCGAGCGTCTCTGATAAGCTCGAGCGCCTCGGGCAGCTGGGAAGACTTGCAGCGCTGCCTCCTTGAGGGCCGCGGTCTGGTCGGCCGAGCGGCCCACGGCGTCCTCCAGCTCGGTCGCGAGGGCCTCAAGCTCCCGGCGCACGAACCCCTGGATCTCGGAGACCTCCACCTCGTTGACCCCGTGGCCGTCCACGCAGTACTCGTCGCACTCGCCGGGCTCGTCACCAAACTCCTGGGCGTCGCCGTGGTGAAGTTCCTCGTGCTCAGTAGCGTTCACACCTCTCGCGCTAGGGCCACCACCTGCTGGAAACTGCCGATGGTATCGCTGCTGGTGCGGCTGCTACGGCAGCGACCTCCTGGCCTCTGTCATATGCAAAATCGGGAAAACTCCTGATCACGATCGCCTTGATGTCGGAACATGCGTACTTTTCAACGGTCAGCGGCGAAACGATGCGCTCGCGGCTCTCCGAGAACAGTCAGCACTTCTCCAAGAACCACCAGCCCAGCATGTCGTCATGGCCTGCGAAACGCACTCTGTCATCCTCGAGCCTCCGGACGTCTTCCTCGAAGCGTGCCACATGGTCTTGACTACCTACCAGACCACCCCAACCCAACCCGAAGACCCGAATTTCGGGTCGGAGGGGGCGGTGCACGAGCTACAAATGTGTGTTTTCCATGCTCCCCGACGCGCCACCACTGGAAATGTAAGGCAACTTGGGGCCTTCAGGTTGGGTTGGGGTGGATTGATGGGCGGTGCTGTCCGTCATGTGCTCACCAGGCCTCTTATTGTAGCGAGCGCCATTGAAGAAGACACCCATGTTTTCGCCGCGCCTGATGGCGCACTGGCCTCCCAGCACCGCCTCCTCAGCTGCCAGCACATTGCTAACTACTCGCATGTAGTCGGCTGGCAGAGTTTCCTCTACGATAGAATCGTCGTCGTCGCGCACCTCTGCGACCGCAGGGAGTGGCTGACGCTGGTCGCGAGGGATGCGGAACCCAACTCGCCGAGCTGCCCTACAAAGCCTCGAAACTCGAGACCAGCCACGCCGCCACAGTAGTCCACCTCCAGGCTGGTCCCGAGCGCCCAGATCTCTACATCGTCCCTGTGGCGCCTCCAACCCTGCGGTGCCCCATCCCATACCAGAATGAGACTGTATCCTGGCTCGCCGCCTGGGGCATTTTCCCGATAGGCCATCTCCACTAGCTGTGCTGAACGACGCTTTCGAACTCCGTGGCGTAGATGCCGTGCCCGACGCTGTCGAACTCAGTCGAATAGATGCTGTGCCCGACGCAGTCGAGCTACTCACGTAGATGCTGTGCCCGACACAGTCGAGCTTCTCGAAGATGCCCTCCACGCCGTCAGGGTTGCGGTCCGCAGATCGCCTGCCACAGCACGGGCTCCGCTACCACTGGCGGGGCCGCGCCAGCTGTGGATATTGCACTCGACGTTTTGCACCAGCCCGCGCGGCGGGCCAATCGTTGGCGCCCGGCGCGGGCGCGAGCGTGATATGGTCAAGGGCCCTGGAAGGCCCCCAGAGCCAGACGGCAGCGGCGGGCGAGGGGCCTCAACGGGGCCCGAGGTGGCCTCGCGGGGCCTCAGGAGAAGAAGACGATGATGTGCATGCGGTGGAGGCGGGGCAGGAGATGGTAGGAATACACGCACACAGTCACCCGTGACGGCCCAAAAGGACTCCAGAGGAGCTGGGGAGGGGAACTTGAACCGGCCCTGGCAGCCATTCCCTCCCAAATAGCCCCGAAGATCCCTACATGCCCCCAAGAGACCCGCAGCAGTACCCAAGAGGCCCCAAGAGGCCTCCAAGAGGCCCCCGAAGCGGCCCCGAAGAAGCCCAAAGCGTCCACCCAAGAGGCTCCGGAGAAGCATCCCAAGACCCCGACAGGCAAGCATCCAAGTTGCATCTGGCCAACAACCCAGGCACAGTGACGGGGTGGCCAGAAGGCCACTAAATGAACTGACAATCCCTGTCACGCAAGCGCCTACACCTTATGCCAATACTGCTGAAACCTCTGGCCACAGTAGGCGTGTCCGAAAGGCACGAGGCGAAGGTGGCTCGACGTTGGCGTCTTAGATCTCGCGCGAGGTGCTATATGGCAGCGCTGCATTCCATTGAACAAATAAGCCACGGTCCTGGGAGAGCCACTGTGCGCGTGGGAGCACCAGCGGAATAATAGCCTGCGAGCATCATTACGCGGCTGCGACCCTGAGCTTGCGACCACCAGACGGCGAGGGAAGTCCAAACTTGCCAGTACAACAATGGCCTGCGCATTCCACAGTACTCCTAAGAGCACATAAGCATGCATGCGAGGACGAGACATATAAAAAAACATGTGTATATTGCATGAGGGCTCGGACAAGACCTCCCTTTCGAGCTGTGCATGACACCATCCTACTACAGCTGAACGACAAGACTACAGAAATCCGCCGACCCCTTGGGGTTCATCGGCGTGTGAGATGTTTCCCCCTCCCCAAACCCCTCCCCCGGGACCCTGGTCTGGTCGATTTGGAGGGGGGGGGTCCCCCCGGGGACCGGCCGAACGCGTCATGGGGGACAGGGAGCCCCAAAAAAGGCCAAGAGGGCCCCAAGAGGCCTTTGGGGCGGTCCACGAGGGCCACGAGTCGTTAAAAGATCGATCCAAAACGCCCACGCTGGCCTCCAGACGGCCAAGGAGGCCCCCAAGACGCCCCAAGAAGCCCCCAAGAGGCGTCTCAAGAGGGACTCCAAAAGCAAAAACGTCCCATTCCCTTCTGGAAAACATGCATTTGTAGCACATTCGCTTCTTGGGCGTTCACAACGTCCCAGACGGCCCAAGAGGCCTTCAAGATCGCCCAAAAACAGGCAAAAAGGCCCCCAAGAGGGCTTCACGACGACCCAGGGGCCCAAGAAGCCCCCAAGACAGCCCAGGAGGGCCTCAGGACAGCCCCAACAGGGGGGCCAGAGGGGGAACCCGAACGGACATTTCGAGGCTTCTGCCCGAAGACGCCTCCGGGTTGCCCCAAGAAGCCCCTAACAGGGCCCCAGGGAGCCCCAAGATGGCCGCAATAGTCCCCAAGAGGTCCACAGGAGGCTCCCAAGAGGTTCAAAAACTGGCTCCAAGACGCCCCCGAGACGCCTCCCAGGAGACCCCATCAGCCCCCCGAGTGGCCTCAGACCCGCACCCCAGGCACGGAGTGCTGCATGTGCGTCTGCATGTGTGTCAGCAAGCCCGTACGCATCACTCCACCCATGCTCGACTGTCACCGTCTTTGGAATTGAGCCTGACCATTGCGCTGCGGAATGGGCGGCCACAGCGGGAAGGCGCCTCACTGCGGTCTGCGAAGAGCGGCTTGTCGTACACAGCACAGCGCTCATCGGAGCCGCCGTTGTAACCGGTATCCAAGCCCGCCGACTGGTTGAACAGCCGGGCGTCGTACATGGCCTCGCAAGAAATGGCGATGATGATGTACGATGTAAGGTCGGGCATGTTAGGTCGGACATGTCCTCCTACACGCGGACGTTGTACGAAAAATAAAATAATAGCCAAAAGATACTCTAACACACCAAAAAATTGTCGAACAAATCGTCCCCAGACTATTTTTGGATAACTGTTGGATATCATCCTGTAGAGGGACACGCCTGACTTAATTTTAATGCCGTACCATATGGATGGCCCACTCTGCAAACTGCTGCAGCGTGGAGAGGCCATGCCAGCCAACGATGCGATGCAAGGAAACAGCAGAAGGAGAAGGAGCAGAGATACGGGAGGAAAGAGAGAGAGAGAGAGCGAGAGACGAGAGGGACAGATATAGGTAGAGGAGAGAGAGAGAGAGGCGGAGAGATGAAGAGATGTGACCATCAACATGGAATAATGAAGGAGGCGGAAGTAGACAGAGAGAGGGAGAGAAACATGGAGGGAAAGAGAGGAAGAAGGAGATTGGAGATAGCATAAGAAGATCTCGAACACTAACATATAAACATAAATATAGATACATCAATCCATCGATTCATCCATCCATCCATCCATCCATCCAAACAGACAGACAGACAGACAGACAGACAGACAGCCAAACAGACAAACAAGACATTTATACATACACATACATACAGCTCTACAAACATGCATGCATCCATAGATTCATGCATACCTAGAGACCTACAGGCATGCATACATACATATATACGTACCGGCATGCGTGCATACACACATACATACATACACATACATACATTCATAACTGCATGCATAGATACATGCATGTAGACATACACCTAAACATACCTACATACATGCAAAAAAAACATACAACTATACATACATCCATATATATAGATATATACATACATACATACATACATACATACATACATACATGCATGCATGCATGCATGCATGCATGCATACATACCTATACACACACATACATACATACACACATTCATACACACATTCATATACACATACACCTATTCATACATGCGGACAGGCAGACAAACAGACAGACAGGCATACATACTCACAACCATGCGTACATACATACATTCATACATACACACAAGTTTACATGCATGTATCCATCCATCCGTTCATCCATCCATCCATACATACCGACTTACATGCATAACTACATGCATACAGACATACATACATGTATACGTACCAGCATACAGAACTTCCATATGCATACAGGCGGACAGACAGACAAACAGACAGACAGACGTACATACTCACAACAATACGTACGTACGTACATACATACATACATACATACATACATACATACATACATACATACATTCATGCATACATACATACACACATACATACATACATTCATTAAAACATACATTAAGTGCATAACTATATATATGCATCGGCGATTGGGTGTGAGATCGACGTGGAACGGAGAGCCCCCCACCGGGAAATCGGTTTCGGTTTCGGGTTCGTTTCGTGCGTACGGGCGAAGCGAAGCTGCGTGGGCGGGCGAAAGAAATGACTTCGCTGTGGCTAGGGCGGCTCAGAGCCATTGACCCGTCCTCGCTGTGGCTAAGGCGGCTCAGAGCCATTGACCCGTCCTCCCCCTCCTCTGGTGGTCCCGCAATGGCCCGGGTGTCCCACCGTGTCCGGTGTCCCGTCGCTGTCCCGTCGGTGTCCGGTCGCGGTGGGCGGGCGGCGGCCAGGTTGTCCCGCCATGGTGTCCAGTCGGTGATCCATCGGCGTCCCGTCGGTGTCCCGTGGTGTCACGTCGGTGTCCCGTCGGTGTCCTGTCACTGTCCCGTCGCTGTCCCGTCCGTGTCCCGTGGTGTCCCGTCGGTGTCCCGTCGGTGCCCCGTCGGTGTCCCGTGGTGAAATCGATGAAGAGATCGGTCGTGAGATCGATAATGAAATCGAAAGTGAGATCGATTGGTGTCCCGTGGTGTCCCGTCGGTGTCCCGTCGGTATCCCGCGTGTGTCCCGTCGGTGTCCCGTCGGTGTCCTGCGGTCGACGGTGAATTGGGTAGCGAGACCGATAGTGAGATCGATAGTGAGAGTGGTGCTCCGATGGTGTCCCGATTGGTGTCCCGATGGATGTTCTGATGGTGTCCTGGTGGTGTTTCGATGGTGCCTCGATGCTCGATGGTGTCCTGGTAGTGTCCCTAGGGAGATTTGGGGAAGGGTCGCAGAGAACCCGATGCGCCAAACAAATTTCAATGTCAGCACCACCAGCCACGGGATCGACTGTGATACCCGTTGGTGTCCCGTCGGTGCCCCGTTGGTGTCCCGTCGGTGTCCCGTCGGTGTCTTGTGGTGTCTCTTGGTAAGATCGATGGTGAGATCGGTAGAGAGACCGATAGCGAGATCGACAGCTCCGATGGTACCCCGATTGGTGTCCCGATGGGTGTCATGATGGTGTCCTGGTGTTTCGACGCTGTCTCGATGGTGTGCTGGCGGTGTCCATAGGGAGACTTGGGGGGTCGCAGAGAACCCGATGCGCCAAGCTGTTTTCAATGTCAGCGCCACGGCCACGGGATCGCGTATGTCCCGCGGGAGCCCCGAAGCCAAATAAATGCCACCACCCGGCCACTTGTGACCGCGACCGTCCCGAGGCCAACGCGGGGATGAGGAAATCCAAATTCGAAGCTTCGGGCGCACTCGATAGTGAGGTCGGTAGCAAGATCAAGAGCGTGTTCGACGGTGGTAAAGACAATAACTGCGATGGAGTGGAATCGAAAAAGAGATAGCTCGATATAGATCGATTGTATGACCGATTGTCTGATCGATAATGAGATACGCCAAATGCCCTGTCGGTGTTCCGCCGGTGCCCACTAAGTCTCCTGCCTATGCCCAATTCCGCTCTTTTCATCATTATCCATCCGCTTTTTCCTTCGCGTTCCAGGTTGAAGGTGGCGACGGCGGCGACGGCATCTTCTGGGTGTCCCGCGGTGCCCCCCCGGCCGCGCGAGCGGTCAAGGGAGGATGCTCGGGTTCGGGCGTTCGTGATTGAAGGCTGCAGCGACGGCGACGGCATCCCGTGAGTGTCCCGTGGTGCCCCAACTCGAGGGCGCACCACCAGTATCGTCATCATCGCAGCCATCGCAGCTATCGTCAGTTGGTTCCTTCCCCCCGATCTTCCACCTGCAGGGTGGCCGCACAGGTGTGTATATAATGTGTATAGATAGATCTATGTATAGATGTGAGCACGTGTGCTAATAGTAGTTACATATATGTGTATCTATATATGTAAAACTATAACCATCGCGCGCTTCGCGCGCGCTCAAGTTCTTGTCGGTCCCCACACACGTGGATATTCCGAGTCCAGTCGGATCCTCTGACTGGTTCGAGCTGTCCCGGGACTGTCTTGCAGGATGGATGGGGCACCTTGGCCTCAGGACGTGCATTGGCACCTCGGCCTTGGAAAATACATGGGCACCATGGGGCACCTCGGCCTCGGGATGTGCCTGGGCACCTCTGCCTTAGAAGGGCACCTCGGCCTTGTAATTTACATGGATGAGTAAGGCTCAGAATGTACTAGAAGAGCTCCAACACACCGACCTGGCCCATCCTGGGCCCTGGACTGGTGTAAAGGCCCTCCTGGCCTAGGCCTGGAGGTCTATACACCAGTCCAGGGCCCAAAATGGACCTGGCCAGGGCTGGAGGTGGTGTTTTCTTGGCATCCCTCCGATTTACATGGTCACCTCGGCCTCGGAGCTTCCATGGTGCATGTGCACCTAAGTTTCGGAAGTTGAATGGGCATCTCGGCTTTGGAACTTACGTGGGCGCCACGGCGACCCAGGGGGCGCAGGGCGGAGGCGAGGCAGCACAAGGTCCTGCATCCTTCTCCTCGCGAGGAGGACGACGAGGAGGAGGAGGGAGTCCTTCGGGTACCTCGCCACTCTCCATTACAAGAACTCCCTGGACGCCAGCCCAACCCTCTCTACCTCCTCTGAGGCACCTCCGGGCACCCGCTAACCTCTCTTTCTCCTTCTCCCAGACCCCCTCCCCACACCTTTCGCTCACTTCTAGACAAGCGCGTTCCAGCACTCGCAAAATCCCACCAGCCCTTTAGGGCGTAGGTGGTCTAGAGCGTTTCCTCTGCCAACCCCCTTCTTTCCCTTCGGGGAAGGGTTTACCCCTCCCCTTACCCCTCCCCACCGACCTGGACGAGGGGTTCCGCGGGTCGTTGGGACGTCCAGGATGGCCCAAGACGGCTCCAAGAGCGAAAAAGCGAAAAAGCACAAAATATTGATTTTCCTTCGGTTTTGGAAGGATTTTGGCCTCTTGGGCGGGCCCAAGAGGGGATTCGAGGCACTCTAGAGGGGCAAGGCTAATATACGACCCCCCCCCCTTCTTTGATAGATCTCCTCCAACATGGCCCCAAGAGCGCCCCGAAGGCTCCCAAGAGCGCCCCAAGAGCGCCCCAAGAGGACCCCAAGAGGCCCCCAAGAGGCCTTCAAGAAGCTCCCAAGAGACCCCCAAGAGGCCCCAAGAGGCTCCCAAGATGGCCCAAGACTGCTCCAAGAGCGAAAAAGCGAAGAAGCACAAAACATTGACTTCCGGTTTTGGAAGGATTTTGGCTTCAAGAAGGGCCCAAGAGGCGATTCGAGGCACTCTAGAGGGGCAGCGCTAATATACGCCCCCCCCCTCCCGTCTTTGCTTGATCTCCTCCAAGATGGCCCCAAGAGCGCCACGAAGGCTCCCAAGAGCGCCCCAAGAGCGCCCCAAGAGGGCCCCAAGAGGCCCCAAGAGGCCCCCAAGAGGCCTCCAAGAGGCTCCCAAGAGACCCCCAAGAGGCCCCAAGAGGCTCCCAAGATGGCCCAAGACGGCTCCAAGGGCGAAAAAGCACAAAACATTGATTTTCTGTAGGTTTTGGAAGGATGTTGGCCTCAAGAAGGGCCTCAGAGGCGATTCGAGGCACTCTAGAGGGGCAGCGCTAATGTACGACCCCCCCTTCTTTGATAGATCTCCTCCAAGATGGCCCCAAGAGCGCCCCGAAGGCTCCCAAGAGCGCCCCAAGAGCGCCCCAAGAGGGCCCCAAGAGGCCCCAAGAGGCCCCCAAGAGGCCTCCAAGAGGCCCCCAAGAAAACCCCAAGAGGCCACAAAAGGCTCCCCGATATACACAAGAGGCCCCTGGGACCGCGAAGAGGCCCCAAAGACGGCCCAAGAGGCCCCCAAGCTCGCCATTGTCCTCCTCCTCCTCTTTTTCTTC